TACACACACACACACACACACACACACATACACACACACACACACATATATATATATATATATATAGTGGTATTTTAGGCCACATTTCATTCGGATCCATATGGACTTAAACGAGGTCTGTTCACTTCCCGTGGATGAGACAAGTGTGTGTAGGTTGCTCGAGTGAGTATGAGAGCTTCTCGATGTGTTGACCACGTTCACTAAACAAGTTAATATTGTGTCTTTATCCTAAAACTTTACGGCTTTACGGCTGGCATCGCAGTCCCACTAAAACCAAACCAAACGATCTCAACAGTAGAGAAAACGTAAATACTTATATCCCCTTCTTTTAAACCCCGCTAGTAGCATAATACTACTATATCTGTCACGTGGTTGTGTTGTGTGGTAAGTGATAGGTACACTGTAGATACCCTCACCAGCAGAGCAAAAAAAACTATCGCACATATTCGTGATCGCACAGCTTATCTATCTACTTCTACTCCCGCATCTTCTATAATGCCATAGAAGATGCATACCGTTGCACAACTCCCCAAGCGAAAGGAAATTGATGTTTTCGAGAAAGAATGAGGGCGACTGCGTGTGCAATCTACATTTGCGGAGCGCTGGTTCATCCCATAAAAAGTAGATGGTGCAACTGAGAATCCCTAATAGAGCTCGACAGGACATATAGTCGATATCACCACTCCGAAATACTATATAAGACGCGTGTACTCTTTTCTACTGGACTGGAACAAGCAAACCGAGTGATGCACGTGTAAACGTAATATAGATACACTACTCTTCTGGTGACTACCAACGGAATAAACAGTTGCACACAAGCAATCATGAACCTGTTTGCACGTGGGGTGTATGTACATACCTGACGTCATTCTTCAACCATGAGGTCATGATATCCCGTTGATGGATATTAGAGGAGGGTTTGAAGTGGCATACACGAGACATGTGATTTAGCATACGCATCAAAGTGTACGTAGTATTGAGCCTACGTATAGCTTGTGCTAAGCAATAGGTTAGCCACTAACAACTCAACCCAAATGTGACAGACTTACTCTCTCTCTGTGTCTCTTTCACACACACTCACTTTCACTATCTCTCTAACTCTTTCTTTCCTGTTCGCTCGATCTCTCTCAAAGTGCCATGGGCGAGGGAAACTTGCCTTATACATGACTAGAATTAACTATATATTCTTATCGCCATATGTATATAGTTATATGCATGCAACCGTTCCAGCTATATGAGGGATGTATATGTGGGGGGGGGTATAGTAATGGAACAAACACTATCCTGGTAAACGATTTAGTCGATCAGTTTGCGACGTACAGGAATGGTTCAATACCACAGAAGATCCTGAGCAGTGGTGGTTCGGTATGTACATATTCTAGTTTACGACATATCATATGTGGTTTGCGACTTATATCAAGGATCAAAAATCAAAAGTGAAATGAAAAAAAAAATTCTTTTTTATAGAAAACACAATCAAACTGTAAGTTGAGTGACGACTCGACGAGAGTCTGTCAAATGTCAGATACTCACTTTTCTATCATCTCATATTTTTTTACTAATTTAAATATATTGTACTACACACACATCTTCCATATACGACCATACTTGTTATGCATAGCATATGGCCACATAACGCCCTACACATCATCAAGACCACCAGCAGAACCACAAGCCAACCTTGCA